AGGAATGGCAGGTTATCAGGTATGAATTAGGGAACAGGCCCGGTGGATCGATTTTTAACCGATTATGGCAGGATATCAGTTTTGACAGGATCGGTTTGGGGAGGGCCGACAGTATTTGAAAACATACAGATGCAAATATAGAAACTATATACCAAATCTACTTTCTTAAAACATCTACAACTATATATTATCATTAAATCAAAAAAAGTAAAAAATACAGATAAGATCAAAACCTTTTTCGCACAAATGCAGCTCCAATATAACCAACAAGTCTGGCATATAACAAATATATCCTTTCTTTCTCATATCTATGCTACTTTTATAGTATTAGCAGTAATCTACACTATTCTCTTTTCTCGAACAAAAATAACTATTATTATTGACAAAAGCTGGCTCCAATCCAAAATACAATCTATATTAAGCCTTCTTTTATATCACCAACAACATTTTCAAAAAATATCTTTTAACAATATTATATCTATGATAAGAGCAATCATTTTGGCAAAAAACTACAATATAAATATTAATCTAACAGAGAACAAAATCAAAATACTAACACCTAACTTTTAATTACATACTAATCTTACACCTCAAATAGTAATAAGTTCAAATTTATTCCATATATTAATGGAACTCTTGTGACATACTTAATCCACCAACTACCCAAAATTATCCAAAGAGCCAAAGCAATTATCAAATAGAACGAACAAAATCAGATCAAATCAATAATACAACAATATCTAAACATTTACTAGAAACTCATATTCAACTACCTTAACTACCAAAACAATCTACTCAGCCGCAATACTTGCCCAACTAAATTAACCTTAAAAATATTCAAAATAAAATTACTAACTTCTGAATTACCAACTTATCTACACCTTTATTAGAGAAACCCCACTATGCATTCTAACCCTTTCTGTGCAAAATGCATAAAAATATCTAAAGACATCTCACACATGCTTACTTGCCAACATAATCAGACAAATATTCAAGATATTGTATCCAAAGTAATAATTAACATATGCCAAACAAATAGCATGAATATACCACTGCTCAGAGACTTTATCCAAGAGTTTGTGACAACTTACACTTAAAAACGAATCCTACTCAGCTTTATCGGCTCAAAAATAGTACAAAAATTAGAACCACTCTTTCAAAGCACTACCTTAATTTCACAAATCTATCACACAATCATCAAAAACATACATGAAGAAATCTGGAAACCAAGCCGAATGTGGATACAAAATAACACTTCAAATCTACTAGTTATCATTATATCTTTAGAAAATAATATTCCTTTTTGTTTAGTAGATAAAAAATTTTACTTATGGCTTAATGCTTTTATTTACTATAACTCAGTATCTCCCCTTTTAAATTATATAGTCTAAAGGTTTTTCAACCATTCTAGCTAAGAATAGATTGAGGGTAAAGATCACTCTTAAAAAAAAAATTTCAAAAGAATATAGTATTCAAATTTGATTAATTTTTTTTTTAACTTTTTTTGTTAGATAAACTTTAATTTTGAATAAAATTTGCAATTTAATTAGCTAATGATTATATAATTAAACATAGTTTTAAACGATTTTAAAAATATAGTATCATGTAGAGAAAAGAAGGTACTACTATATAATAAAGAAAAATCATATATAATAAACAGCATACCCTATATTATATTACAACATACACAAAAATTTAAAATTATATTTTTAATGCTTTTGTTAATAATTAATCAAAAATGAGAATTTTGATATTATATTATTTTACTGCTATACTCTAGACAATAAAAATAAAATAAAAAAAAAGAGCATTGTCACATTAAAAAGTACATTATAGTGAACCTGACAAATATAATTATAATTGTGTGGGTTTGCTAGTTCAAGAGTTATTGCAGCTTGAGCTTTCTATTTTTACTATTAAATTATCATTGATCTACAGTTCACTATAAAAAATCTTGATTAGTGATCATCATTATATGACCTGCATTATATTTGTAATTAGACTAATGCCATACACCCCAATATGACATGTTCTCTAACTAATACGTATAAGAAATATAATCCAGTCAATTATATTTAGTTAAAATCACGTGACAACAAGCCATTAGTATTTTAAATCCAATAATCTCTCAAATAGTGTTTGTAGTCAATTCTTATTTATCAACTTGACTAAGTCGATATTTAAAATTAGGCTTAGCCAGCTAAGTCAGAGTCGATAAATATTTTTTACCTTCGAAATTTATCGGTGATTTCATCAAATTTTTGTCGCAAACTTATGTTCGTTGATTTTCTTTTTGGATTTTCTCAGCTCTTACTCTTAGTAAGAGAGGTAATGTATCGAATCTGATTGGTATTTTAATATAATTTAACATAAAATCGACTAAGTTGGAAAATCGGCTGACTAAGCCGGCTAAGTCAATAAAAATCGACTATGCGAAATCCACTACAAACACTACTCTCAAAACCAATGCAAAAGCTATCCACCATGCATATCGGATTTGAGAATGTACTGTAATTAATGATTATTAGACATAAACACAGTTTTTTAAAACTTTTAACAAATGTTTTTCAAGTTTAATAAAATTAAAATAATATTTTTTTTAAAAAAATGATGATTTCTCAACAACCTGCTAACCAAATTTAATAAAAATTTTTAAAAAAATTTATTAAATTTGATTGCGAAATATTTCTTAAAAAAAATTTGGCCATAGCTTTTTTTTTTATAGGTGCCTAAACTTGAATAAAAATTATTTGATATTTACCCGATCGTTCAAATTTGGCTATTACTAGTGGTCCCTAGCTGACGTCAAATTTAGCCAATAGAATTTCTGCTGATTAGCCATAAATGAATTTCGGGTGTTCTACAGTTTTTACGAGTGGGTTTCTTTAGATCATGGTAGACCGAAGGCGAATACAAGGGCCGGAAGTTAGTGTTGCTCCGATTATCATAAAATCAGCTGATAAAAGAACGTGTTTAAAGGATGAACATTCTCGGCGACGCGACGGAAGAAATTTAGAAGATATTTGTCCGATCTGTAAATATTTATTATTCTGCAATAATTGTATATAACGATGCATATATAATTTATACCTTCCTCTTTAAGTTTTAAAAACAGGTCTCATAAGTCAAGCTAATGGTTCAGCATTTATAGAAATACGTCGGACTAAGATTGCTTGTGGCGTGTAGGCTTGTTAATTTAGTATATTAATTTAGTCCTAAAAGATCGTTAATTTTGGATTCACATAATTTAGTTATGGCCCGCGTCAGACAAAAATTCCATCCTTTAGTGGAAAAGGAAATTTGAATGTAGAGATTAAATTTGCGCCTTTTTCGTGTCAAAAACGTAGACAACCATATAGAGTAATATTAAGCTTTCGTTGCTATAATATACTTAAAGTACTCGTTTGTTTTACACTGCTTTACGAACAATTTTTAGGATGCTCAGGAGAAAGACCTTTCTCAGCTAGTGATTGAAGCACTTGTGCCTTCAATACGACTTGACTTATTGCCAAAATCTACTATCGATATTTATATTACAGTGCTCGAAAACGATGGAACAGCATCATGTTTGGCAGCCGCTATTACATGTGCATCAGTTGCTGTGGCTGATGCAGGAATTGAGATGTTGGATTTAGTACCAGCATCATCGGCGGTAAAAAGAAACCATATATATTATGATGTATTTATTTATGTAAAATAATGTATAGATTCTTTGTTCTTTTTCGGCAATTAGTCGTATATCGGCGGTGAGATTTATATGGATAGTGATCTTGTAGAAGAACAACACGAAACCGGATATTTAATCCTATCGTACATGCCTTCGTTGAAGGAAGTGACACATATATTACAGTCTGGTGATGTTGATCTGGCTTTAACAACTCAAGTAAGAATCTTCATTATTATTATCAGATAAATGGATTATGATTTAATTTTTTAATAATATAAATGTAGGCTTTTGAACAATGTACAGACGCCTGTTCTAAGATTTACTCGGTCATGATAAACAGTCTCTTGTTACCTATACGGGATACGCAATAATTAAGTTGTAATACATAATTAAAATATTCTAAAATATTAATATTAAATATATTAATATTATGAGTTTCTCTAGTGTGCTTTAAATGTAAATTTATACTCTTTTTTTTGATGAATGCATTTCAATTCTGTTGCAATTTTAAACTCAAAGCTGCAGCTGCTTTAGATCCATTAGGACGACCTAATTGCTGGGATATATAATTCCCAACTCGCACTAGCTCCGACAAGTCGATACCTGTTTCATAACCCATTCCATGAAGCATATACACCACATCTTCTGTAGCAACATTACCGGTTGCTCCTTTAGCGAAGGGACATCCACCTTAAAATAAACGATATTTAGAAAATCCGCGAATAGTGTCCAAGTATTTATGTCAAACTATTTACCTAGACCTGCAACAGAACTGTCAAAGACCCTTATTCCTGACTTTATAAGAGTTATTATAAATCAGTATTGAAAATAAAATATTCATATCGCGATACTAAAAATACAAACCGTTAGTGCGTGGTATATATTGGCAAGGGCTTGACCATAAGTATCGTGACAGTGCATCGCTATACGTTCTGCTGGCAAAACCTGACATACAGCTTTTAACATCCTCGATAACGAACCTTGATTTTATGGACCGTTGTTACTAACTCGATTTAATACTGTACAAAGTTCATAAATCAGAGCAACAACGCAACAGACCAGGAGTGCCAACGCCAATCGTATCGCCTAGAGAAATCTCATAACAACCCATTTTGTACAATTTCTCAGCGATTGTAGCAACTGCAATGGGAGATACCTCTCCTTCATAAGGACATCCAAGAACGCAAGAAACATATCTAAATAAATTGAAATCATTAAATAGGCACAACATTGCATAAATGTTTATCATTATAAGAACTAGTCATCATACCCTCTGATAGCAATTCTTTCAGCATTGGCTATATCTACAACATCTTGAAATTGTTCCAAACTTTCATTTATTGTACAATTAATATTCTTTTTGCTGAATGTCTCAGAAGCAGAAGCGAATATTGCTATTTCTTTTACATCCGATGATATAGCTTTTTTCAATCCCGTAAGGTTAGGTACTAAGACGGGATAATCCACGCCTGGTTTGCGTGTAATTTTTGTCATAACTTCAGCAGCATCTGACATCTTGAAGATAAAGAAATTATAATTAAATCCGGACAATAGTAATAACGATAATTAATTTTACCTGTGGCACTAATTTCGGAGACACAAATGACGTTGCTTCTATCACCTTCAAGCCGGTCTGGGACAATTTATTGATAAATTCGATTTTGTTTTCTGTTGGTACGAATTGTTTTTCATTCTGTAGACCATCTCGGGGGCCTACTTCCACAATTTTTACTGCTTTTGGTCCCGTATGTGGGCCCCAATGCTAAACGGTAAAATGTTAGCCACTTTTTTGAACAAATTCAGGCTTGTATAAACGCTTACTTGATTAAGTAACGAAGACGCGTGTCTAGCATTGATAAATGAAAATAATTTATGCGTACGGGTAGGATTAGAAAATATAGATTTAAAAATGGCCATCAAAAAAAAGATAAGACTTTTCGCCAACTTCAAATTTTGGGCCAACGCACCCCAAGAAATTTTCCCACATGTGACAGATCATCCGATTCGTGTAACATAACCTTAAAATTTTTTTACTCTCTGTACGTAGAATTCAAATAATTAAGTAGTTGCTAAAAATTATTACTCAACGTTAGAAAAAACTTTTTTTATTTATAGTACCGTATAGCCGCGGAATAACGCCCACCTGCGCGTTATTTTGAGTACGCCCATGAAATAAGTGTTGATTTTTTGAATCGTACCCTTAATCATAATACTAGAAAAACGGCGACGTTTTGTAGGCTGGAGCCTTAATTCTTAGGCTTTATACTTTAGAATTAAAATTAAAATATATTTGAATTTTATAGATTGCTATTACATATCTAATATCTCGCGGGTCAT